CTCTCTCTCTCTCTCTCTCTCTCTCTCTCTCTCTCTCTCTCTCTCTCTCTCTCTCTCTCTCGCTCTCTCTATCCCGCCGGCGGAATGAAAACTTTCTCGCTGATATGACGAAAATGAACTCGGGCGAAAAATAATTCGATGCGCGTACAAAACATTTTCTCCGTTCGGGAGGTGGAGGGAGAGGGGGAGAACCCTGGAGAGTAGCTGACCTTTCACGCTGCGCCTCATTCAGCTGTTTTGCGTCCCACACAGATAATTGCGTCATTGGTCCGATCGCGTGATATATTTTAAATATTAACGGGAGCGTGTGGGGAAAGCGTGTCTAAGCAGCATCCGCCTTTGATGGATGGCGCGGGTACGGAGTACTGTCAGTATATATATATATATATAGGCCTATATATATATATTATACACATATAAATATATTCATAGCGTCTGCTTATTTTTCTATAAAAAGTAAAGGCTGTCTGTCGGAGTAGTAAATAACCGGGAGCAAATAAAAATAATATGCCAATTAGTTACTCGTAATTACTGCAAGAAGGCATTGAACAGCGATGTGCCATGGCGACTTATGGAGGATGATAGACATATTTGATCGGACTGACGTGAACATCATCATAACCATCATGAACACTGCCGGACCTTTGAAAACATTACGGTAATACCGTGAACTATGATGCGAGATATTGAGCGATGGCGTGGGACAGTTAGGGATGACAGCGAAGAGTCTGCGACCAAACATAGAGAGAGTGAACAATAGCAAAGGACAATTAACAGACTTTAGGACCGCGAACAAACAGAGAGGAGAGAGTAAACAATAATAAAGTACGATGAACTGTCACTGAGGACCGTGGGAAAACATAGAGAGAGATTGAACAATAACGAAGAACAAAAACAGTTATTGAGGACCATGAACAAACATAGAGAGAGAGAACAATATTGAAGGGCAATAAACAGACTTTGGAGACCGTGAATAAACAGAGTTAGCGAACAATAATGAAGAAAATAAAACAGTATTGAAGAACCGTGAACAAACAGAGGGAGTTAACAATAATAAAAAGCAATGGACAGTCTTGGAAAACTGTGAACAAACATGAAGAGAGTCAAGAATAATGAAGGACAATGAAGAGCCTTGAAGAACAATGAACAAAAGGTGAAAAGAGTATACAACCATGGAGGACTGACAAATATAAATGAATATAACGAATAATTATAGAAGACAACAGGCTATCACAGAAGAACCGCCAACAATCATAAATACCCGAGAACAGAGACCAGTAACAACACGAAAACGATTCCATGACGTAGCTCGGTCAGCAACCAAGTTATTATACATGACAGTTAGCGGTGATATTTTCTTTTCTAATATATTATTATTATGCTAATACTTGCTAATACTTATGATTAGTTCTAACAACGTTCACGATATAATAGTAGACAGCAAACCTGTTATATAGTAGCACATCCGGCTTCCATATCCGGTGTGGAGGGATACGCAAATCCATGATTCCGCCATATTCTTCCGGCGGCCATCTTAGATTTGCGTCGTTCCAGTCCTGCAAGATACGTATCGGATATATTGTACGGAAAATTATTAGTTTGAATGTGTTTTGAAGACGTCGTCAAAAATCGAATCTTACAAGTCTGTATCTGCATATCGATTAATTTTGCGCAGCTGTTTTTTTTTTTTTTGCTTATTCATATCAGATTCGATTTAATTTCATACAGAAAATGAAAGAATTCTTATAAAGGTTAATTATATTTGTAACAGATAATAAGAGGCGTGACATCGGTAAGTAATCAGGGAAACGTGCAGACAGATACCATGCAAAGGAGTTGAGGTACAAGCGCACCCACGCTGTGAGTCGATCATGGGGGAACATGCACGGAGCGACAGCCAAAATGTCTGGCATCAAAATCATAGCAGATTCGAGAAGCACGAACATGCATAGAAGTAACAGTGTGTGCGCGCGTGCGTGCGTGTCGCCATGTAGTTGCACTTACATCTGTATAGTATATATATCCGACTTCGCTTCTGCAGATCGCGGACGAAAGAGAGAGGAAGAGATAGGAAGAGCGAGAGAGAGAGCGAAAGAGAGAGGGGAGAAGGAGAGGGAGAGAGGGGGGAGAGAGATAGAGAAAGAGAGGGGAGAGGGGAAGAGACAGGGTAAGAGAGGGGAGAGAGAGAAAAAGAGAGAGAGAAAGAGCGCGAGAGAAAGAGAGCAAGAGAGCGAGAGAGCGAGAGAGGGAAGCCAAGGCGCACCGACGGTTGCCGTTAATACTTCGGCGATCGATCAATCAGAAACGCGATAAGGTAAAAAAAAAAATCCGGCCGTCAGCAACGAGCAATCATACCGTCATGAGAGAAAGGGGAGAGATGGAGGAAGGAAAGAAGAGGGAGAGATGGAGAAAGGAAAGAAGAGGGAGAGATGGAAGAAGGAAAGAAGAGAGGGAGGGAAGAAGGGAGGACGGGAGGGAGGCAGAGAGCCAGACAAAGGGAGAGGGAAGAAGGAAGCGAGAGGGAGGGAGGAAGGGAGCGAGAGAGAAAAAGAGGAAGGAAGGGAGAGAGGAATGGAGAGAGACTTTGAGAGAATGGGAGAAGGATGGCGAAAGGGAGGGAGGACGAGAGGGAGAGAGAAAGGTTGGAAGGGAGTGAGGGAGGAGAGGAGAGAATGGGAGAAAGAGGGCAAGAGACAGATAGGGGGAAGGATGGGATAGAAGAGAGAGAGGGGGAGAGGGAGGGTGGGAGGGAGGTAGGGAGAGACGGAGAAAGAAGGAATGGAGGGCGAGAGACGGACAGACAAACAGACAGACAGGGAGAAAAGGTGAGAGAAGGAGGGAGTGAGAGAGAAGCAAATAAAGAGACGAAGAGGGGGAGAGTCAGCGGCAAAGCAAAGAAAGAGAGAGTGCCGGCGACAGAAAGAAAAGAAAGAAAGAGTAAGAAAGAAAGAGAAAAAAAAGATAGAATGAGAGAGAGAGAGAAGAGAGAGAGAGAGAGAGAGAGAGAGAGAGAG